TTCAGGAAAATGGTACCCTTTAGGAAAATCTCGTAACAATTATTGACGGTTATTTCGTAATTAATTGAGTTTAAGTATCCAATATAAATTTTGTTGTTCTGCGATCTTTGGCAAGATCGACCTCTTCTTAAATGGACGTAGCTTTGAAAAAGGAACGAGGAGTAATAATCGGCAGTTTGGTCGCACAAATTCGTTCCTCGAGGCTCGTTCTTACAACGAGGCCCCGTTTTTCCCTGTAGAGAAACCGATGGACCGAAAGATTCCTCCGCGACTACGGTGGCTAACGTGACGCGGTTCCGAGCCGATGCTTCGAGGTTATAACCGCGGCTGAAGAGTTCCTTCGGGGTCAGGAATTCGAACTTGGCAAGAAACGAGCCCGTTATTTTTCCGACCGTACTTCGTCTTTTTCCTTTCCACGCTCGATCAACACTTCCCGCGCGCTCTTTCCTAAGAGCAGTTCTTAAATCGGCTCGATGCATGCGCTTGCAAACCTATTTGTAACTATTTTAACACTAGATCTACCAAGGGAGGTGGAAATTCTAAAATTTTGTATGACTTTTTCTAAAATATGCAAAGAATTAATTTTTTAAAACAGTTTTCCTTTTTTTGTCCTTTTCATGTAAAATTTTATGCAGTACACCTCCACATACGGAGATGAGTCATTTTGACTCCCACGAAACGTAGGATGAGAGCGTAATTATTTTGAAAATTATTGTTAGTGAATTATTATTATTATCATTATCAGTTTATTATTAAATTTTTACTCATGAAAACGAGAGTTGCTACGTCTTTTCTTATGACTGAGTAATTTGAGAAATAAGTCATTTTGACCCCTTCGGTAGAAGTAGGTATATGTCAATCGCGGATAGTTCTAGTGTTAATGTAAATTTGAAATCAGCATACGTGAAATAATGGAAGAGCTATGATATAATGAAGCAGCAAATCGGTATAGAGATTTGCATCGTCCTCCCTGGAAAGAATGGTCGCATAAAATATTCTACTAGTGTTCACGGCCGGGCATGGAAGCGCGGGCCGGTAACGGAGAAAAATGATTAAAATATGCCCTCGAAGCTCGCAATTTCGCGGTGCACGGCGCGTTCTCGGCGCGCGAGATAAGAGCGTGTTTGTGGAAGGTATAATTGATGCTGGAACCCGGCCGGGGATCGCGTTTGCCCTTAAGAGTTTGGAACTGGGTGGAGAAAATATAGGTTGTCTTCGTGGCCGGGCCTTTGGAGGGCCGACGGTCGCCCGCGGTGCAACACGAGGATGATATATTCGCTGCAACCGCAGCTGCACCGAGCTGGACTCCCTCGACCTCTCCGCTCGAGGTTTCGTGAGATTACGAAACTTCTTGCCTTGTCTCGTATCCCCCCCTACCCCCCCTGTAACTCCCAAGACAATGAGATTTGTGCGCCGAGATGAGATACCCGTGGATTCTGCCTTAGAACGACCCCGTGTCAACCTGTCCTCGAACGTTTTTATAGTCATCTTTCATATTCCCTGTTCCCTCGTCTCCTTCGTTCCGTTTGCTCTTCGAACGAATACGAAAATCGTGGATTTCATTCTCGTTCGAATCTTCGATTTTGAGTTTGTTTTCGTTTCCCTTCTCGGCCGTCAGAATCCTTTTTTAAACACGTCCGTTCGATGTACGTAATTCCTCGGAGAGATTACTCGTTTCTTTTTAACGAAACAAGAAACAACTTACATTACACTGCTCGCATGCCACGATGACATAAAAGTAGAGGATGTCTACGTAGACGGCGAACGTGTAATCTCATCAACGCTTATACGGGCAGAGAGAAAAACGATTGGAACGGTGGTTCTAATTCACGTTCATCAACGCATCCCGAGAAAATTCTCTGTACCGGGAGCAACATTCTGCTCTAAATACATTTTAATGAAATAGAGACCCCGGCGTCTGCCGGCGGAATTTCCACGGGGGCAAATTGCAAAAACCGTGGCAGCGACGTGGTTTCGATCAACGAGAGGAGACATCGCGCACTGTAATTTCGCGCTACTTGTGGGCGCCGCAGCCATATAATTGATACCCTGATTTCAGCAGCGGTAATTCATAATAATCAACCTAAGAGATCGCGAGAGCCTATCTCCACCGGCTACGCTCGCTCTAGTCCGGCAATTTAATATAATAAAAGAACGCCTTTTTCTTGTACCGATACAGCTCGACGATTTCTCGACGATGTTTAATGCCCGGATAAAACGCCCCTTCGCTCCCATTTACTAAAGAAATTAGTGCAGAGACACTGCACATAACATAATTCTACTGTTCCTTAGTTCACCACAAAGGGACTTTTGGTCGGTAGAATTTAATAATCTAACAGGCAAAACGTAATCTAGCTAAGCTTTGAAAATCGCAATAATTTGGCCGAGCATTGGAAGAAAAAACTCGATCTAAAACGTTGCAATTCCTGAACGCATACGCCTAATACGAGCATTTCCCAAACTTATAAAAATGAAGGATCCACTGTTTATCTGTCGTTAGAACTGATCGTCAGAAATGAAATTTTTGTTTATGAAATTCCATCACCAATCATAATTTCAATCAATGAATAAGACAGCGTGTCAAACGATACATTGACAAAAATTTAGGTGAAAAGTGGCTGTGAAAACTTGTTGCTCATCGGGCGGCAGGCTGACTAATTACAAGAAAAGGACAAGTAGGAGGATCAACGAACTTGCACAAATTATCTCCGCGCGGCGGTTCTCGCTTTACACACCGTTTACTCGCGCGCACGAGCTAATTATCCCGTTTCTCCCTTTACCTGACACCGTAGTCACGGCCACAGGGGCCCATCTATCACCCGGGACGCCGGCCGAGATTGTTTCGAATTTCTGATAGCGATACACCGGGGTAACGGTACGCGGACAAACGAGCGTAAGAATGGAAGCTGCGTGGAAGCGTTCGCTTCCGTTAATTAGCGGAGTTACCTCGCTGAAAACAGGGCCGGGGGACCGTTATTAGGTACGAGTCTCACATAATTGGCCGGCGCACGCTAGTTTCACGCTTTCGATCATCCCGAAATGTAACGAACACCACCGTGTTTATTCTGAAGATTATCCTGTTGTGATCTTTAGCTATGGTGAACGTACCAGTAACTGATTGCCACAGTCAGAACACCGACTGTCACTTCTCTTATTGAAATAACATTCAAAAATATTGTATATTAAAATATAATGGTGAATCACGTTTTTGGGAATTTTTTTTTTGAAAAAGTAAACCATCGAATGTTTTTAAACTTTAGGGATGTATTTGCCTGTAAGTGAATTGTATAAATCAATTTTTTCGTACAAAAATAATGAAATGCTAGCGACTTATGAGACGCCACAAAAAGCTTGAAAGAAGAACAAAATACGCTGTTAAACTAGAAGGTATTCTGCGTACAATGACGTAGGGTATTTGGGAAATATTAAAATCTGCGAGTTTTATCTTGCGATTAGAATATCAGAAGTCTTAAATATGTCTAAAAAAATTCCATCGAAAGCACTTTACATTACTATGGAACGAGCAGAACATTCTGTAAGTAACATGGTTCGTACGGATTCCACTGATTCTAATGGTCGCCGCCCAAATGCAACAAAATTCAAAAAAGAGATTAGAACGCGCCGTTCCGGTGGATCGACCTCAATTTACGCCGGTTCGATCTTTGGCTAGGCGTTCGCGGAATGCGCGCAAAGACGAAGGACGAGCACAAGGACCGGTCTATACGAGGGCTTGCGTGCGGCGGCGCGCAGCGCGGTCGCGTTAGAGCGGTGAATATTTCATTCATAAGCGAGCGATCCGAGCGTATTGCCGTGCGCGAGGTAACGATCGTACTACCTACACTACCTACCAAAAGTTTCCTAGCCGTTACTTTCCTCAGTTCAACACTTGGCTTCTTATAAAGCCTGTAATAAAAGTTCTCTTGCAAGCCTTGCAAGTTTTGTTTATAACAGGGATAGCGAGCTTCTTCCCTGTATCTTTCAACTTCCAGTCTCGACTCGAACTTCCAGTAATGAATTATTAGATATGCTGTAGTACATCTCTGAAAGAGAAAAAGTAGACTTATCTTCTGGTACTGAGACACTTTGATCATTCAAGATAGCGAGAAAAAGTCTGTCACCCATGTCATAGACAAGTCCTTGCAATTGAACCTTTATTATAGTCAGTTACTTTCAGTATAATAAGAAGTAAGATGTTTAACCGAGGAAAGTAACTGCTAGCAAACGTTTATACGATCCATGATATAATAATTGCACTACGTTTCTGTCGTGGACTATTACTTCTCGTATAAGAATTTTATGTTAAAAAACTATAATTGCTACATAAACTTTTGAGCGATACTGTACGTATCACGGGCGTGTGCGTGCGGCGTGGTGTGAGTGGCCGCGCGGAGCGTGCAATGCAACCGGGGGTAAATCGCACCGGTTGCAGCGGCAATTACGATTGCGGCTCCCGTGAATGAAACGTTCGTCTCGTTTCTTTTTTCTCCTCTTCCTCTTCGTCTTCCGCCTCTTTCGCGAGCTTCTATTCGCGGCTGGCCTTTTTGTCGAACGGAGAGGAACGTTTATAATGAGCGAGTGCGCCGTTCCACGCGGCTCGTTGCGAGCAACGTGATTCCGGCGCGGAACGCGCGCGGCCTTCCACTCTGGGTCAAGGGTCACCGCGCGCCGTGTGTCCTGCGTTTCGAACACGCGCGTGGGTCGGTGATTCAGAGACGGTGGGCGCGATGCGTGGGTGTCATTGTTTGTGAAACTTGAATGAGCGTTCGGAGGTTTAGCCAGGATTAATTAGAGAGCTAAATATTGTCGGGAGGAAAGGGGGAGTGTGAAAAATTGCTTGCGATCGTATGTGCGATTTGGACATGTTGCTTTATAAACTCGTATGATGATTTAAAACGTTGCCAGTTCGAATTGAGACCAGATTCGTCTTCTGGCACTGAAAGACCGTAGCGAGGATCATCCCTGAATTAATACTAATCATACACTTTCGTTGTATGTTTCAGAATTTCCGTGAACACCGGATTGACGGTGCAGCCTTGCCACTCCTGTCGGAGGACCACTTGACCGGTCCCATGGGGATGAAGCTTGGCCCAGCTTTGAAACTGCGCGCCCTTCTGGCCCGAAAACTAGGTGCGTGCACGGTTTGTCTGCACTGCGCGCACTGCCACCAGACACCACTGCCCGCATTGAACGCAGCAGCGGCGGCAGCGGCTGCCACGTCTCAGCAACAGCAGCAACAGCAGCAGCAGCAGCAACAACAACAGTTGCCCAGTAGACGGCCGAGCAGCACGGGGAACTGACAAACACTGGCGGAGACTCCTCTGGGCCAGGAGAGCGCGTCGCCGCTCTCCGACCCGAACAGGGCCCTCAGGATAGAACGGCGCGTATCGCGTCCGATACGCAAGCCGGAAGTGGTCTTCAAAAAGCCCATCAAACAGTGACACGGTCCTGACGCGACCGCGCACGCTGTGCAATTCTGGAGGCTCCGCCTGTTTCACAAGTGTTCGTTTCTCGTGCATGGACAACGGCTGACCGTATGTAGTATATCGAGTACCTGGAGAGATAACGACTCCGAGAAAATAGCGTTGTACTTACGATTGAATGCCTGGGTCGGTGATGTTGAATGAAGAATGGATGTGAGCGAGCCTGGTGATGACTCTTGAACTGTGAGGGATACAAGGTAAGAGTTTACGTCGAGTACCTAATGGCCTTGGTTCTTCGAATTCAACTCGTCGACGTTCAATCTCGACTATTTTATTATCATTTCTCGTGCTGAACGTTTCACGTTCGAACGAGCATATTTATTTCCGGTTTCGAACTCGCATTAATCCAGTCTTTCAATTTCGTTCACAAGAGAGTTTCTTATGTACATCTCTAAAAAAAAGCTTGAATTACATTTACTACCGGTTTTAGTCGTTCACTTTACCATTTGGTTTCACTAAACAAAGTAACGTACAAAGTGATACTCAGTGCCTAGAAGGTTTAACATAAACACAGAACTTGAGGTGGTTTATGCGTGATATAAAATTGTATTAGTGACTCACGAAAAATTCGTAAGAGATTTGTACCGTTGGTTAGACTCGATTCTCTGCGCTAAGCAGGTAGCGGAGGATGACTAACAAGTGCTAACGTACCGTGTTTAAAATTGAAGATAGACACGCGATGAGCACAAAGGAGCTGACGCGATAATCAAATTAATTGGAATAGGAATTAACGATTAGGCTCGACTCGTTTCCGTGCTGGCTTAAATTAACATATCCCGGTTGAAGGCATTTCAACCGGAAATTTATTCGGTAGATCACAAGCAATTAATTCATTCGTTAGAGTATATATATGTACATACATAGAATACGATATCGAGTCCAATGTGATGTTTAGAATAATTGGATCGAGCTTTTATGAAATCGGTGTGATCAACGAAACAGGTGCCTATATCGAAAACGTCTTCCAACGAAAGCCCGGCCTTAAACGGACAATGGAACGAGTTAACTTTCATTACACTTCGGAATTGATAATATTAAGCTTCTTATCCGAAACGGAATTAAAGGAAAAAAATCTGAGATCAATAGACGATTGAATTAAATAGTACGAGGATGCACCGAGTGGTGATTTTATTCTTTCAGCGTTGATGCAGTAGAGGAATACCGTAAGAGTGCGTGGGGAAATGAATGAACGTATTAAATATGTGCGAGGATGAAAAAAAGAAAGGAAAGAGACAACACGTTGTTAGGGGAAAAAATTGATGTGCAATAATGAGAATGGATCGTTTCTTTTCGTGCGCGACGACTCTGCGATAGGATGATACGTATTTGCTCAAATCGTTGTTTCTTTTATATATTTTAATGAAGTTTTTATATTAATGAAATATAACGGCGAAATATACTAAACTATATTTTTACTAATGTTCTACGACTGCTAACATCGGCGCTGCACGCGTACATTCATATACGTACGCGTACACGCGCGAGCACATATACATATATAAATATAAAGATCGTTGAGCGTGAAACAAATTTAAGAGAAATATACGTAAGGAACGATGATGATAGATTCGTAAGAGGCGATGGATCTTGGAGAAACTGTAAATTAATTTTCTTCTCAATTATTTTATGGTTATCGTTTATTTATTTAGGTGTAAAACCTGTTGCCTTATTGTATTCATGTAATAACAATCTTAGTCGTAACGAAACGAGCGAGAGAGAGGGAGAGAAATGTAGGCGAGGAACAGTTGCCAGGGATGAGAGAGAGAGAGTTGATAAGTTCGTAAGAACGAGCAGTATTTTTAGATTTACATTAGCCTGAATTTACTGCAGACTATTATACAATTTATAAATAGTATACATACATCGATAAGCGCGTTCTCGCGCGCAATATCTGCTCGTGCTTTCAGCGTTGTATTTTCAAAAGTTCCTTCCATCCTCGTTTACTCGATTCAAATTCTTAACAAAATAATTCCTCATTTCATCAGCCAGAACGTTATTTTATAAATCTTCTAACAAGAGCACGAGCAGGCATTAACGGAGCTAGCGGCTTTTACTTAAACCGAGATCACTGTACATAAAGCTTAAGCATTTATTTATACCGTGCTTTTACAAAAAAGAACCCCGTAGTATTTTATTTAGTTTGATAGCAGAGGTTCACGCACAATCACATCCTCGTACCACGAGATCATTAAATATTGTTCGGGCAGCAGGATCGACCGCGAGGTGAGATCGAGAGCCACAGAATGTGTGTGTTCGCGTGCAAACGAGCTGGAGATTATTTAAACGAGAGAAAGAGAGCGCGAGAGAGAGAGAGAGAGAGAGAGAGAATAATATTGTACAGAATGGGGCAGATGAAAGAGAGGGCAAAAAGATGTGGGCGATAAGGCAATCTTGTGATACTTCAACAATTTGTTTTCCAACCATTTTTCTATTCTTTCTATGACTCTTTTCTGCGCCCGATCATCCCCTCTTTCCTTTCGACGTACACCCTTTTTTTTTTAATTCCCTTATCGCAAGTCTGTCTTGTATTATTCTTCTGATTAACTGTCATATTATGTATAGTAGAAATTAATGGTGAAAAGAGAACAAGAACAGTACATTGTTTCTGTTAAAATAAACATTGTTGAAAAATATCATATATTTTTTTACGGACGGAGATCATGATTAGAATGATAGAGGGATGAAAATATTAAATTGACGATCATTTATTTCAATACTAAGGCGGAATACATATAATAATACTTGGAGGAAAACTGCACCATGAAATCTTGAGCTCTGCTTAATTGTTCGTTACCATTTTCAAAGTCCGTACTCGACGTTCTTACAGTTTAGCCTGAAAATGAAACGTGTTTTTCGCGAGATTAAACGAGAGAAATGAAATTATTTAAGATTATAAAAAACTAACAAATCATTCGAGCGAGTTTGAAAAATTGATTTTAAGTAAAACTCACCCCGACATGGATGGCAAGTACCCCATCGTCGGCGCCCTTCGGGATTTCGATACGAGCCTCGCCGTTCTGTTGCACATTGACAGTCTTGCCCGTGCACTTTCCGTTCTGGAGGCTACCGGAGATCACGTCGCAATACTGTCCAGCCGGCAGGCAGGTCTTGAGATTAGTGTTCAAGTCGTACTGGTCGGCGTTGAACGCAACGAACCCAGCGTTGCCACGGCAGAAAGCGATCTGGTTACTGCCATTATCCCACCAGTTGTTCACGTCCGTACCTTTGACCGTGTTACGGAACCGCACCATGTTGTAGATTTGTCGCCAACGATGCTCACAAATCCACCCGCCGCCGCAACTGTTGTCATCTTTTATCGTTGGCGAATTTATATTGCCGTTTCCATCTTGAGGTGGTCCTTGATCCTTACTTTGGAAATCGAAGGAACTCATCACTCGCGGGGTACCGAACGGATGCGCCAACATGAAGGCTACAGCCATCTGAACAAAAAAATTATTCATTTTAGGCGTACTTCTATCGTATACGATTTCGTACGTCTGACCGTCCGACTAGATTCTGACTTATACTACTTACAGGCGCTTAAATGTGCGATTACCGAATTCTATCAAGGTTCACCGTTACTACAGCTTTGTCACGTTTTATTCAGTCATTTAGTAATCTATTTCTTTATCTAAATAATTCATACTATGTCAGACATCGTAAAAATAATACATACGTGTTTACCTTGTATATTTTGGCATTTTTGTAAGTCAATATCTGCGGGTTGTCGCGTTGGGTGTCGTGATTGTCAACGAACACGAGAGAATCCCCTGAAGGTAGAAGTCCCCATTTCTCTCCCCAGTTGACGAACCATTTCAAGAGATTGTTGCCACGGAAAGCGTTCGATAGTTCACCGGCGTATTTGAACTCGATCACCGCGGCGTTCGAGTTGTACTCGTGTTTCGACACCGCCTCCTTGCCACCATAATCGATCACTTCCTGGAATATGTACGGTCGAGCATTCGCTGGGAAACCGTGTTCAGTCTTCAAATTGTGAAGCCTCGAGTAGATGACGTTCAAGTCAGCCGGCCACATGTGCTTCGCGGCGTCAATGCTGGAAAATGAGCGATTTCATTGTAGATCGACTGGCATTGAGCAATGCTGATCTGGAAACGATTATACGTACCGGAAGCCAGCTACGCCTACGTCGATAGCGGCATTCATGAAGTCCACAAGCTTGTTTCGAACGTATTCCTGGCTTTGATCCAAATCGTGGAGGCCGGTCAGCTCGCAGTTTCGCACGTTCACTGCGTCGTTGTAATTGTTGATCGCACAGGGTTTGTGGAAATTTTGTGCAGTGTAAGGCACCGCGGGGTAACTGAGGCTGTTAGTGTCGGCTCTCGAGTTCCCGGTACCGTGCGCGTTCTGCCAGTTGCCGGACATGTGGTTCAGGATGGCGTCCACGTAGATTCGAACACCGACCTTGTTGCACCTGGCTACCATGTTGATGAACTCCTCTCGCGAGCCGGATCTCGTTGTCCATATGTAGGAAATTGGTTGGTAACGTTCCCACCATGGTCTGTTGTTAATTACGAGATTCTCTTGTAAAGGCGACACCTGCACAATTGCAATTTCGATTAATTTGTTTTTAATGTTGATCCATTCGAGTTACATTTTTGGGTGATGATTGGGAAATGCAACGAGAAGGAACTTCTAAAATGTTTTAATGAGGATGAATGATGAAACCAAGTTTAAAGAGAGTATCTGATTTCTTAGTTAGCAGTGTAGATATTTAAATGTGATATCATAGGGTTTTTAACTGCATTGATAAATATCTATTATTTAAATACTTGAAATGAAATTTTGATTATCTGATAATGATAGACGAGAGTGAATTTCTTTTTAATTTCGTTTTAATGCCTCTATTGTTTTGGCACGAGCACAGATAAAGCAATCAGTAAACATTTCAGAGATGATTATCTGACTTTGGATTATGACAATATTATTAAATAATAATAATAAGTTTCGATCCATTCATTGAAATTAACTCTATGCATGTACCAAAGATTGACTTCGCACAGTTTTATCAATGATTAAAATATTAAGAGGGACACTGAAAATTTTTACCTGAACACCGCCGAATCCCATGGGTCCAAGGAACTGTTCGCATTCCTTCGCGATGTCGTTCCATTTCCACTCGAACAGATGTACCATGGCATCGTGGCCAGGTTTGAAGTGCGGATCTTTGTGAATCGAGTCACCCGCGCTGAGCGCGAGCAGTCCTAACAATAACGAGGCGATCTTCAACATTGTGACTGGCACGTGTAGTGTGTCGCGGAACGATTGAGCTCACAATTATATAGTCAGCCGATTATCACAGTTTTACGTAATCGCATATATCCAAAGGTCAACATACCCCTGCCACCAACGTGTTTTATCAATCTATTGTTTATGCTTGAAACGATGAAATCGTATCAAACATACTTCAGATTCAAGTTCAGCTTCTTCACCGTCGTGACACATCCAAGGATTTCTGACTGAGTAACATTATTAAGTGTTTTCCGTTTCCATCTGCGGTGCAAACATTTGATTGTAACGGGAAAGGCCTCGTGTCACGCTAAACAATAAGGAAATTAATCTATTATTGGAACTCATGTTTCATAATGCACGAGAAAATGATAGTTGAACGTTCAGCACAATAAATGTCTGCACTTGCGAAACAGCTATGACAACAAACGTCAGAATTGTTATGGAAACGCTTTGACGGTAGATAATTCTCCTCGTCGAGCGTTTACCGAATACCGACTAAATATCTCGGCTCGTGAGAGACGTGCATAAACGTCATAACAACAGAACAATAATTCATGGGAACACGACTTATTGGTATCGATGCACAGTTATTCATTGGGTCAAAGGTTGTCAGAGATGCTGTACCTAATAAGCTCGGAAAATTGATCATGCTCAGAAGATGTACATAAAAATTGATATCAATATCAATAATAAAAGATTATAGCACGTTTCGTATTTTTACTTGACGGGGAAGCTGCAGTGCTCAGAATAAATTATATTGTAAATTATTTTGCAACAGCGAGACGAAACACGCACTGAATAGTTTAGTCGTAAATTCATCGTTTCCACGAAAATTGGATTCGTGCGTTTTACGACGCGGCTGGCGGCAGTCGATGCAAACGTGAAAAATGTAAAAGCCCATCTGTGCCCGATACTTAACGGACGTCCGTCGTAAACGAACTCGCGAGTTACCAACAAACGAAAAACCTACGCCGCCTACAATAACAATAAATTCTTGCGAGTCCATCGTTTCGACTTACATCAACCTCGGTAACGTAATTACTTCATCCATTACTCGAAGTCAGAGTTAAAAAAGTTGTTATCAGCTGCGAGCCGTTCATAAAATCGCGGTCGAGCGTCCCGTACGAAGGGAAGCGAGATAGAGGTATATCGGCTGGACGGTCGACTGTAATTGCGGGCGATCGTTAATCGGCCCACGGTTCATCGGCGGATCAGGCAAGCAACGGGCAGCAACGACGTCTGTTATCAATAGTCGTCCGCGGGCCTTGTAAACCGGCCGGGCCTACGATTTCGCTGCAGGTCACAATTACGAGTGAGGCGCGTAATTAAAAGCTGATGTCCCTCATTTATTAATGCTACCGAACGAGCCCGAGCTGGCCGTGGCGCGGCGGTGTCGATGCGCGGCTCGCTCGTTTCAATGCCAAACGTCATCAGTCTTCGACTGCCCTCGCTTCGCTCTTCCTTTTTCGCTCGTATACCGCGGCCTGTCCCTCGTATCTACATGCTCTCCTCCGGCTTTCATGTCTCATTTGCATATTTCCGCGCACGGAATCCTCGCGCCCACCTAGCGTTATCGGCGAGCTTGATAATCGTTCCACGCTCCGATGACTCAATCAATTTTATGTCCTTCCAGGTGATTAAATCCTGAGTGCCGTCCTTGGTCCTGCGCGATAACAGGTTGTACATGGATATATATTTTAAAGCTAGATTGCTGTTTTACAGTTTGTTATTATTACAAATATTCACTGCCTTTACTAAGTGCCTAAGAATTCTTACAGTCGTTTCACTAAAAGCTTATTAATAGATCAATTACTTGTTTACTGTAAAACAGATTCTATCTCGGTTGAGAGCAACAAAAATCTTGAAAAGAATCAGATTGCAAAACAACGTGCAATTTATATCCAAGGTTGATCGATCAATTTGATATCTGAGTACTATTTATACTTTGGTTATATTGTTTCGCTACTTGGGATCGTTCTATCGCACTTAAAAAGTTATCTTTATCTTATTTAATTTAGATCCAAGAGAGGCGATCTTATCGAGACTTGTAGTTAAAAGCAAAAGACATTATGTCGGCTTTGAGAACTGACGACTTATCGAAATGGTTCGTGATTGAGATCGTTGGTCTTGAGGGCAGAAGGAAAAAACACTTGACAATGTTCTGTAAAATGAATTTAGGAAATGAATCGAAGTACTCCGTTCCACGATTCCCTGACATCACGCTCTTCTTTTATTTAAATTCATTTGGCTACAGAATATCACAACATGATATAGATCGAACTTTAGATAGAATCACATCGACCGTCGAGGAACTGAAATCCGAACGAATCACTCATGACACGAAATCCACGTGAAACAGTAAATTAAAATAGTCAATACTGAATTGGAACAGGAATGAAATATTATTAGATCAAACCTTTTAAGTTGGTTCGTTTTGCAATCAAAGGCTACCTAATGGCAATCAAGGATGGATCAAGTCCCTCGAACGCGAGTCGATGTTAACACTGTTAAGGTTTAGTTAACGCCATTAGGCAGCTCAACGACATAATTATTGTTCTCATCGATCAACTTGTACGCACACATGACAACAGTACAAAACAGCGGAAGTAACAGTACGCACAGACAACGATACACCGATTAAGTGGATTTCACGCCACGATCCATTGAACCGTATGCACGGAATCCAGACACTTATGCAACGAGCTGCATACGGCATAACACGTGTGACAATGATTAATAATAAAATACTCTCCTTAGCGAGTCGCGATTAATTTCACTGTCTTCATGCACAGTTCCGTTGTTCTTTTAACGTCGTTTTCAACGATACGAGATTTCTCTCACGTCTTTAAAGGGCCTTACCAGTGTGACCGCTAAAAATTTAGGTCATTTTTGAGATGTTTTTTTTTAAAGAAGTATTCTATGGAATTTTTTTAAACTTTATGGATGTGTTTGCCTATAAATGAACTGTGTAAAATAATTTTTTCGTACAAAAATAATTAAAAACGACCAATTTATGCCAAAGAAAAAGTGATTTGTTTTAAATTTCACACAGGTACGGCCCCTTAAGTAATAGCATGCAGTTCTGTTGAACGTTTGGGACAAAATTCTACTTTTCGTCGCACTATTCTCAGCCTAATTAGAGAACAACGAAATCGAAGCACTGTAGTAGCGAGAAGATCACATTGTCGTTCACAACGTTTTCATATCACGTTGCGACCGTTATTTAAATGAGAAGCAGTGCAGTTTGAGCGAGGTTTCAAGTCGTAATATCCGCGTAAACATATGTACACGTATTAAAATGAAGCAAATCTTGCTTGCGATTGTTGCGTTCCTTCTGATTTGTACCTCGGCTGAGTAATTACATCGATCAATAACATTTAATAAATACCCTAGCTAAGTTTTGATTAGTTCAATAATTATCTTAGCAACGGAGAATAATGCCGAACGTGAATAAAACAACGATGTGATATCAACGACAGATTAATCGGCATTAGCTTGCGTATTCACGGTTTCATAAAAGAGTTTCTCGTCGAGAAGGGACACGAGCATGATCATCGGAGATTCGAAAGCGTAACATTCTTTATACATCGAACATGTTCCCCTGGTTATTGGCGATCATGGTAACAGGCAGTTCTAATGTAACACCAGATTTTATTTCGTCGAACGTTTCAAATCACATAGCGAACGGTATAAATGCTTAACAAAGGTAAGTCGAATTTCATCTACGATTCTCCCGGACTGTTATCAAATTTCGTACGATAATTTCGTTTTAATCTATTTGAAAATCTGGTACAAAGAAAGTCATTCTCTCAAACACACCAGTCGCAACATCGATACATTATATAGTATATAACAGCTTCCACTTTCGTACTTGAACAGTGTCAAATATAGATACACATTAATATGCGTGTATAACATGTTTCATCTCTATACATGTGGGTGGATACTGTGTGTGGGTGCTTCTGATATCCGTCGTCCGCTGAGATAATTCATAGTGATTGATAGACATTCACGTGGCCCTGTCGTTTCTTTGCATCTTGTCGCATCTTCTGGTTTACATATATTTGCAGTTAATTTTCTAATATTTATATACATACACGCACCCCCGATTTAAACATGCATATACATATATTTATACAATAAATAAGAAATCCCGCTCGCACATTCACAGTAGTGAAGACGTGTCGGTTGCAGGTAGAAAAATTCTACTGTGCTTCCACTGAAAGTAAACGATCCTCAGATGATCTTAGACAACGATAAAAGATAATAATTCTACACTGCATTGAAACAATTCGTAAATTGATCGAACGATCATCGTAACGAGCAGGTTTCTCGTTTATGTTCACAGATATTCAATGTTATTAACAATAATCGTTTTCACGTTTACCGTAAAATACCTGCACACGGCTAATCGATTATCAATTGCGATGATCGTCGACGTATCGAGAATCTCCGTCGTACAATTTTAGGAGCGTCGTAACGTTGAATCGACTCGGTGCACCGTGAAAATCGATCGATACGAGAAATCAGAATGCAAGACAGCGAAACGAGAATTCAGAATTTGTGCGTTTTGAACAACCAGACCAAGGGTGCCCGGCCCTCTTGCCTCACCACCAACTTGATGTAGAGGCCGGCGACACCCTCCGCGGGGGCTGTTTCTTGTTTCGGCGACTCTGCCTCGTGCTCTCTGATCTCCACCCGTTTCCTCTTCCTCGATTTTTTACGATCCTTCTGCCGTTTCTCGGGTCTCTCCAGCATCGGCTTTCGACCCTCCAACTGCAGCTGCACTTGCGGAAACTGCAGACTCTCCATCTCTTCGTCGTACCTCCTCTCCTCTATTTGCCGTTGTACCATTTCCTCTTGCATCTGCAACGCGTCCTGCTCCAGGCTCCATTGAACTTTCAGTTCCTGCAATTGTAGTTGCAACTTTCTCTCTTCCCGAAGTCGCCTATGTTCTTCTTCGCGGCGTATCAACGATTCCTCTTGTTCCATTTTCGTTTCTCCTTTTTCTCGTAGTTCTTCTCCTCTGGTCGTTTCTTCTAGCTGAATCTGTTCTTTGTTCTCTTTCGTCTCCGGTTGCAATGATTCTTCTTCAGTTTGCTGTTCGTTACCTTCTTGCCGATCCGTCGGTCTTTCCCCTTGTTCCTCCTCTCTCTGCTGTTGCAAAATTTCTTCCGGCATTTTTACTTGTTCTTTCTCTAAGCCCTCTCCCAAATTCTCATCTTGCTGTTTCTCTATATTTGCCGATATATCCTGCCGAGCTTTAACCTCATCCTCCTGTTGAGCTTTCGTCTCGTCCTCTTGCCGAAGCTTCTCCAAACTCCTCTGCCGTTGTTCCATCAACTCGTCCTGCCTGAGCTTATCTAAAGCTTCCCTTCGTTGCCTCTCCTCGATCTTCTGTCTCTCCTCCTCGAGCTGCAACTGTTGCATTAATGCCTCCTCCTGTTTCTGTCTCTTCGCCTCCTCGTCATCCTGCACGACCTTCGACCCCTCCTCCTCCTCCTTCCTTCTCTTCTCTTCCTCCTCCTTCTTCTTTTTCCGTAGTTGCTCCTTCTGCCGCCTGTCGAACTCCTCTTGCATCTCCTGCTTCCTCAGCTCCTCTTCCTGCTTCCTCGTTTGCAGCTCCTCGTTCTGCCGCTGCAGTTCCTCCTCCTGTCTCATCGTCTGAAACTGCGTCCGCTGTTCGATCAGCCGCTGCAGATCCTCGTCCTCGGATCCCCGCTTCCGATTCCACTGTTGCTGCTCCCGCATTTCCTGTTCCGCTGTGACGCTGTGTTTACCTTCAAGCGGGCGTGAGACCGCATCGTTAATACGAATTTCCTCGCGCGCGGTTCGAGGCTGGTCCGATACGGCCGCGGCGATTGCGGCCGTGGCCGGAGGTTAGTTGCTACCTGAATGCTGCTTCTCGTCGGAACCCTCGACGGACACGTTCGAACTCAGCGACGTGTTGCTGCCGAACTGGTCCTGCAGAGAGGACTGCACCGACAGACTACGGTCCTGGTGCTTCACTCGGTGAGGGGAGAGCTTTCCGGTGTCGACGCTGCTTGGGTCTGCCTGCAACAAGTGCACTGCGTTGCGATTGTGGCCAGCCACAGGGGACTCGGTATTTTTGCTACGTGACATGTGATTCACTAAACGTCGGGTGCACAATTAAAAGGGGGAACTCGGCCCGGTTTTATGAGACATTTTCAGAAACGTGATCGGTATCAAGGCATTTATTTAAAACTTTTTTAACCGGAAGCGGAAGATCGTGAGGAAGTCAAATTCAATTTGCCATTTGGGTGTACATGCACATATCAATTGACACTGACTTTTGTTCGATCGGGTAGCAAAATGTTATTTTCGATATCCAACTGAACAATATTAATCTCGTATAAGGGGACTGAATAAATTTGAAAAAACTTCGAATCCAAAGAACATTTATTTAAAGGGGAGAAAGATTCACTGAACGTATCTACGTAAAATATGGAATGAATAAAATGACGTATGAAATTAATGACATTGCTCGTTACACGACTTGTGGATGCCGAGGCGAGGTGTGCGCAATACGTGCTTCTTAATCAAACTGTTTTCACTCTCGTCGCATGCTTCGAGACACAAGTGATACGTGACAGGGAACAAAAATTCCTACTTGATCTCATTTCGTTATAAACAAAACTCGCACGATCAGAACTACGATTACCTTCGTGAAGAACGTACATTCTAGTTTGTATCGCTAGACATAACTATTATACAATCCTGCAGCTACACGTACTAAAAGTGCTGCTTGTAACAGTGTGATTTCGGTCGGACCGTATCTCATACTAAATTAGAACAAACGATTAGAACTCTGCCTGTAGCTTTGAGAACTTTAGTACGTAAACTATCGAGATGCATGGCCGCTAAGTATTTAAATAGCGCTCCGATTCTTCTTGCCAACAAGCTCATGACAATGAGAATAAATGCGAAATACGTAAATCGGCTGTTATCTTCAAGATATGACGCACCTGATAGGCCAGCGCCGTCATTATGATCTCTCCGGGTACCAAGCGCAGGGGGTAGATCTCCTTCATTAGCACTGATGTAGGTATTTTGTGAAACTGTATGAACTGCAGGAAGTTCCCGATCACGTCCTTGAGTTCCAGTGATTGATTCTGATCATCTCTACTATCCCAGTACTTCTTGCTCCACATCAAGGCCGCCTAAGACGTAAGAACAGTCATTCGTATCATGAATACTATTACGACGATCCAAAAATAATTGCAATTTTTTTATGCACGTAGTTCAAGTGACAAAAGTCGAATATTGACTCGTCGATTTATTTGAACGTGTTTAAGTTTTCGTACGTACTTGGAATTTGGTGAACTCGTCAGCTTGCAATTCTTCCCTCGCGAGGATCAGACGAACGACGTGCTCGGGAAGTAGGGTGAAGGATCCTAAACTCAACACTTCGTTGCCATGTTCGTTGACAAACTCTAGCACCTGTAAAAAACAAATTATAAATTATACTACACGTTGTGTCTCTGTAGTCAGAACTGGATTAATAATAAGGGAAAAAAATGGAACAAGTATGCGCGAACTTACCTTTTGAACCAGAGACTTTGTACCCTTATACTGAATATATCGTTCGGCCGACGCCAATAAAGCGCAAACGGTGTCCACTGTTATGCAGCACTGCACGAATCCAGTGCAAGCTTTCCTCAATTGTTCCAATCCGTAAAGATCAGCAGCGTTCATCAAACCTTCGAAACGCAGGACGAGGAAATTTTACCGAAAGTCCAATTGAAATTTTCACCCGACAATCATATTTAAACAGACACGAAACATACCTAGCAATGTTCTGGGCTGTAGCGTCACGCATCCGGTATGAATGTACTCGATCAGTTGACGAAACACGTCCGGTTCGAACTCGTCGATGATCAAAGTGTGATGCTGATTCGGCTGTGATTTAAACGAATTCGTGTTTACAACGTTGGGAAACATAGAATTAGAATTTTCTATCACACCTCGAATTCGGGAATAGTCATGCTGACAATAAGCGAATTGCTTTGCATCCAAAAAATGTTTTCATCTTTCAACACATGTTTCATCAAGAAATTATGAAATATATAGATAAGTGTAAATAACGAGTAGATGTAACGAATCGATAGACAATTCATACTCGTGTACTTCTCGAGTATAATTAACTATCACAGAAGCATCAAAGGTTAATAAAATGTTACACACACTAATGTTCGTAGGTGCAGGTTCTCAAAACTACAGTGCGTCGAGCACACCATCGTCAGCTCCAATGCTACGTGATGTATCGTGAATAAATGCAGAATCGTAAAGTAACTATGATATATACATGTGTGTACGTCGGATTTACTGCTGTAAACCGTACGGATTGACGACTATTCTTAATTTGCTAATACTGCAATTTGTTCATCATCCGTCCAAAGTATTGGCTCTGAAAAATTGCATGCTCACTGAAAGAGATAGACCGGGACGACTACCCATGCGAGTTTACGAACGAGCACAGATCATTTTTATTTAATTCCTATGTTTCGTCAGGCGTTTATTCTTTTAATCTTGAGGAATCATGTCCCTATGTATTTCAGTAAAGTGACGTCTCGCGTAAATATCGTGAATGTCTGACGATCCGTTGACTCTACTATTTAAAATCAGTGACACATCGGTTTACGAAAATTAATATTATTTTAGGAGCCATTGATTCATGCGAATTAGACTGAACTTCCACGAGTGTTACCCTCTGATTTCACGATATTAGCGATACAAATTTATTCATGCATTCATGACCTGATATTCTCGCTATCACAGAAATCACATATCAGGATTTATCGTCGTCTAACGAACTCCCCTCGTTGTCAGGTACTGAAGATAGATAAAATAGAGGACAGTTTCATGAGCAAAGAGTAAAAGGGGTGTAAAGAGGAGTCGATAAGTGAGAAAGAGATTTTACGGATGCAAAATCTTACAGAGAAGTGGACGTTTCATAATACCTCTTGTATGGGTGCCAACTGCTGCGCGTACCCTGATCGCTACACGGGATACAAGAAACGTAAACTTAAGAGGATCTATCTTTGATTAGAGGCTTCTGATAAAATCGTCGCATTTACTCTCATTGACCGGTCGACGCGACGTCGATTTCGAAAGGTTCGCGACTGAAAGTTTTACGTTCATCGATCGGTCGTTTAACATTTACGAAATTGAACGTGGGCTCGTATTAAATTTCTCAGTATATACCGCAGTTTCAGATCTGGGTAAAATGTGACTCGGCGAGCGAACGTTTCACAGCCCACTGCCTACGTTAAATCTATCCTGTATTAATTTCAGTTTCGCGGAACTGTTTTCTCGTTAATGCAATCAAGTCTGCTGCTTCCCGGCTACGTCCGAGTATTCATATTACCTGCTGCGCCACGTTTTGAAGATTTAACAGTGGCTCCGAGCTCCGTTTTAGAAACGTCCGGAACTTGTTCTCCTTCATCGGCTCCTTTTTCCGCTGCGGGCTCGGTGCCTGGTCAAACAGTTTCTGAAACACTCTGTTAGGAATCACGATATTTTTCATTGCGGATTCAATTAAAAAAGGGGCTTAATTAAACAGCATTTTATTGAAACAGTAACAATTTTATTTTTGATGCGCAAACATAGCTGAACGATGGACTTAGCTAGTGGAGATGAATTGCGATACGAACCTACTCCTGGCTGCGAGGACGGCCTTCACGGCGCAGATAGGCTCTTTTGTATTACCGACGAGGAAGGTCACGTCGCATAGTTCCGGCATGCTAGCCAGAAACTTCATGTCCTCGGCCAGGCCGGACTTATTCTCAAATATCGAATAATCCGACTCGTCGGCCACGTCCGATCCTGAAGCCTCCGGCATCGAGCTCGTACTTTCCTGCAGAAATATTTTCAATTCCGCCTAATGCATTTAACGCAATGTACGCGGATCTATTGCGCCGCGAACGACAGCCGTTCTACACCTCAGGTCTGCTAAGTACGTACTTATACGCGCTCGAATGACACATCGTAAAAAACGTAGAAGTAAGTAACCGACGATAATATGTCAATTAAACATGAAAAATGAAAGACTGGAATCATGAAACGAAACATCGTTTCATCTCTATAATTTCAAATAATTTCTTTGGTGTAATAAAGAAGTCGATAGCTTGGATACTGGATTATTTCGATAGGATATCCCAGAATAGAGTATTTGAGGGAGCCCTTTAAATGTTATGCCGGGTATAATCAGAAAAGGGAAAGTTTGTCAGGGTGTTTTCAACTTCGTGGGTAAACAAGCTTCGGTTAACGAGCTAGCGCCCCGTTTTAATCCGACACGAAATTTCCATCTACGCAGTTTACATTTTTCCTATACCGAAAAGGTCTATGAAAATCAGAAACAGAAGATGGTTTAATTATTTTATTTATAAAAAGAGCGTAACTCCAGCATTTGTTTGATTAATTATTTATTTACAAAATGATTTATTAACGGGGACGGAAATTGGTGAAAAGGTGTTGACTCATTTTTGAAGTTTAATCGAATTAATCGGCCACCGGCTAGTGACATAATAGGAACAGGGTATTATTAGAACGATGTGTTATAAATAAAATGTAGTTATAACGTGCCGGCGTATTCACAAAGAACGAAAATATTTCGACCCCTCTCGTGGGCGTCAGTAGAGAATCAGTCTGACATATGTTGCTCTACTACGGCCTAGTACAACGTGTATGAACGTATTTATTATATCCGTATTTAGTGTATCCATTGATAATCTGCTGCATTCTGCGCTACGAGGGGACAGTCAAATATTAACGATAAAAATAATATCATTACTGATTCATTGTAATTCCTGTTCTCCATATCAAAATTAAATCCTCTAAATTATTCATGATTTCTCTGATAAATTGCACATTAGATACACAGATTTAATACAATTATGGAATAGTTAATATTATAAACAAGCAATACACGAAAGTATGTAGAATGTTAAAAGCAAAATGCATGTTTTTGTTATAACATCCTTAAGAAGCGTAAACAGGCATAAACAGGGGTTGCTAGAAAGAGCTCGAACGGTTCTCGGATGAACAGGTTGAACGCGTTAAGAATTTCCGAAGAAAAAACGGCGCTAATAACGGCTAAACGGCACGCTCCGATGGACGAAACGCAGTTTCCTTTATGCATTTACAGAAAAAAGCTGGCCGTCGATAAATCATCGGCAAAACACTCGACTATCTCGTAACAAGCCCTCTTATTTACGATCTACTGCCGCTTCCAACAAATTTTAGAACAATGCGAAAATAACAGACGTTGGTGTCTGTTGTTTTATTTGATTTATTTAAAACTGTATTTAATTGCGTCATTTTAAGCTTCCCGATGAATTAGAAATTGGCCCACATATGTTTTAAATTACCTGTTGCTCGAATCCCGGAGCCTCCTCGCTCGACGAACCGCTTTTGCCCCGAAAAAACACTTTTACCTCGCTTCCACGTTTCCGCGATCACGCATAATCCACCGTGCACGCGCGACGATCCCCCTGTTTACGCGTACGGTCTACAACATCTCCGGCTCCTCGCGGTAAACAAAATTCGATCAGGAGAAAAACGTTGAGCCCTCGGTGCGATCCGAAATGAACTGTTCCAGACCTGCCACCCCTTTTGTCACCCCCGCGGTTTCAGGGCCGTGCGAGCAAATCGTGAAAATCGCCGAGACACGCTTGTGTCCGTTTTCTGCTACGTTCCAGGGTAGAAAAACCCAGACCCTTTCGCCTCGGGTGGGGGCGGTGCGTTCGAAATTGCAGACCTCTATCGAATGGAACTCGCGCACACCGAAAACGCCACGCTCGCACTTGGCCAAAGCGACTCTCGGTTCGTGTCGAACCTCTACGCTCCTCTTGCCAGGCGAACCCTCATTGCGCACACGCGTGACCAACGACGGGGGTTGGAAAACCGTGACCAGCTGCGCCTGTGCGACGCGCGGATTCGCAGGACCTCTCTCTTTCATCGTCCTTCCTTTCTTCCTTTCCTAAAGATTTTCAAATGTCACTAGGTTACCAGTTGCTCGAAAATCGCTGATTGCTTTGCTAAGAGGGGTCGATTAGGTCTACAAGGGGTGGCTCGGTATTGAAGGCTTCCTGCGATTTCTGACGTAGGAAATTACTTCCTCAGGATTGGTCTCGATCTAGTTCGGCTCAAGAACGTTTCTTCTTTATTTTAAATGAATTAAATGGAAGTTCGATCACGATCATACGTAACGTTCGATTTAAAAATTGATCGCAGGAATGATCGATCATAAGACTCATAAGTATCGAAAGCTCGGAACGCGAGGTTTCCCTGAACTTCGTTTCACGACGATTAAAATAGTTTCGACTCCCTCACGGTTACTCGATGTTGATTTTTGCACCCTGGCTTACAACGCGAGCAACGAAAGTGAAGGTAATGTGAACTCCGACGAGACGAATCTGGGTCAAGCTCAAAATCTGGCTCTGTGGACCGCGACCATTCATGTCTGTGGAGGAGCGTTCGTCTCCCTCCTCGCGTCCTCTTTCGCTAATCAATAACACGCGCCTTCGCAACAAGTAGGCATCCCGACTAAAAAACGGGTCGACTGCGTCCCCAACGCACAGGTTCTAAAAACGCTTCGCAAAAACTCTTGTAATCCCCGTCGACTCAAATAATCCACTTACGTTCATTTTTGTCGTACATATTTTCGAGATTCCTTCGCAATATTGAATAATGCGAAACATGTGTTTAAAGTCATATTCAGTAGGAAAATCAATATTTTGAAGTTTCCTCAGATTAGATAAGATATTTATTTTGTGTCAATTTCTGTGATTACTGATAAATTATTATTTTTGATAATCGATGCGACTTAGTTCTTTTCATTTTGTACAAGTAGTATAGTTGAGTTAGTAAGAGTTTGTAGTGTGTAGCAGATTTATTAAGAAGAATCGAAGGCCTAGGTAGGTTGCAAGCTTTCTGAACGAATGGTCGCTACATCGTCTCGGACGTCACCGAAGTAAACGGCGCTTGCGCGAAAATAACGAACGATTTCATTTTGGTTTCCGTGGCAGCCCTCGATAATTGGTAAACGGTTCGATAGACACACGCAATCTTTGACAATAAAAAAAGTTAATCACGAAAAGTTGCACATCGCCTCGACGTAAAAATCAATATATCCATCTCGTAATTTATTTTATTAATTTTTTTTCAAGAACGATTATTAATTAATTTGCTCGATTCCACGGAAAATGTGTAATGATTCGTTATTAATCGACGAGCCATGGTCGGGACGATGGAAACGAAAATTAATTGACGAACCAAAATAGTTCAAGGCCGCTGGGAAGTGTGTCGCGACCGAGTTTCAAGACTCCCGATTCAATATCAGGTGCAATTACGCGGCTCGCATCAAAGGAATTCATAGCGCCATGAATGTAACGAGGCACAAAGGAAAACAAAGGCTTCGGGCGACGCTTTAAAGACCAGATTCAGAAACTACGAAGCGTTCCGAGACTAAAAATAATTAAGAACGATATCGCATCGCGTTATCATTAATAAAATTCTTATCGATTAAAGCTACATTTCTCTTTATTTCTTCATTTTTCAGTCTCGTCGTCTTACTGGTAGCTTTGAATTTCACAATTATTACGTCGTTTATTAAAATTTAAAAGCAGTAGCTTATTGACGTTAAGTACTAAATTAATATCGATTATTAGGTTGATAAAAAATATATATTCCTATTGTTTTCGTTGTGGTCTACTTTATTTCCGAACATTAAATAAAACATGGGGCTCATCATTTTTTATCAACCCGATAGGGTAAGCGAGTGAACAATTGAGAATGATCGAACTTTCACGGGTCGTAACATAAAACAACATCGATTTA